TGCAGCAGCAGCCATGGGCGAAGACTAAGTCCGTATACAGCTATCTATCTTTTTTTTTTTTAATCATACCTCCTCTCTTAAAGAAACAAAATTTTGCTTCTACTCGTCTGTATACACTCAAGCTTTCAGGTTTTAGCTTTCAATGTCTCTGCAACCTGAAGTCAAATCTGTTTGTTTTGTTTGGCTTTGAGTTCTGAAGTTACAGGTTTGTTTAGTGGAAAGAATTATATGGGCTATTTTGACATTAATCAGGATCTCGTCTTTGAGATTCTCTGTTTCATCTTTTGCAGTTCTCACAGAGTTGGTTCCTTCTTTGTTATATGCCAAGAATTGTATCAGAAATTGCCGTAACACAAACTGATGAGAGAGAACGCACACTTCAACGCTGAATTTGGGAAAGATGTTAGCTAACGTTTTCTAAATTGGGAACGTCGTTGGCTATTTCTTCCAGGGGAAGAACAGATGACAACACTAGTTCTAAGCCATATACGGGAAGATTGACACTGTATGCTAACACTCACACACTATAAGCTGCTAAACCCTAGTTCTGAGTTCCAAGAAATGTCTTGTCCTTGCCGGGAACACTTTTTTATGTAGGAACAAGATGATGCACGGCCATATCATCACGAACATATACCCACATGAAAGAAGCAAATCCTGCAACTGCAACGGAGAAGAAGCCCAAGCCCACTCTCAGAACACTCTTGCCTCGTCCCTTTCGAATATTAGTCTCAGAATTCCAGTCTGCCCTCGGTTCTTCACCCGTATTTTGAGATGTAACAGTAGTACCAGTAGTAGTAGGGGGATCACATGTTGAGGACGATCCATCAGTGCTCTGTTCTCTGTCGTCTATTACATCATCAAACGGATCCTGCACAAAACCATGCCGGTGATGTCTCGGATATCCATCTTGTGAGTGTGGCTTGGTGCTTTTTCTTGAACTTCTTGAGCCACCGGTCTTGAAACGCTCAGAGTTCATGTCACTTCGACGGCTCAAGATGTCATCAGAGTCATCAGCTTCTGCGTGAGATTTTGGAATCTGAAACCAGAGTTTCAAAATTAAGCTACTGAATTATCCTAAAGAATTGACTAGGAAGTGCAGAGTGTACCTGACATGGCATAGAACTTTGCAGATATCCATTTCTAGGAATCTCAGGTGACACATGAATCTCTTCAGTATAGTATTCATGTGGCACCGCAGTAAAACCTGCAACAATGCTTCCACAGGCTGCACCCGGAAACAAATCATCTTCATCTGCTTGCACATCTGCACAAGTTCCATGCTTATGGTTTACACTCCAACGATCATTGCCAGAGCGGTATGAAGCATTTTCTCTCAGACATGGTGAATCTTCTCTAGCAGAAGAACGTAAGCGTTGCGGATCATGTGATCTGGACTTGATAGACCCTTCTTTAGCACTAACCGAGATTCTATCATTATGGTTCCCCACGCTGAAATTTGATCCGGTGCATGAATCAACAGCACTGTCAACCGTTGAACCTGTCTCTCCTGTTAATCTCTTTGCGGTTTGCATGGCTTCATAAGCTGCCATTTTGACAAAGTGCATTGGATCTTTTCGAAACTTCCCCATCTCTTGGAGTATCAACTCTATCTCAGAATACATGCTCTTGGGATCTAAACTCTTCATCAGGAAGTTCAACATCTGAATTGCCAAAAGCCGCTTCTGAGAATTACCCTCAGCAACACCTACATTCAGAATCCTGAGTCCTGAATGCACCAACAACCTCGTATATGCCTCGACGATAAAAGGGTTGTGCTTGGCAAGAGCCATGACAAGTGCCATATAAGAGTTAGTCTCACTCGAAGTCACTTCCAGAGTGACAGCTACGTTTTGACACACCTTGTTCACCATTTCATCTGAAGCAAATCGCCAGTTGTCGCAGTCCATGAGAGCCTTCAAGCAAACAACAGCTCCTAAGGCAAGGTGCCCTTGTGTTTCCAGCAGTGAATCTGACAATGGCTTGCAAAGAGAGTGAATCATGTCCTTCTTCTTGTCTCCTGGAGTTCCAGGGTCAATCCCATATCTTGCAATAGCTGATACCACCTTTGAACAAGCCTGTTGAAGGGGAAAAGAACCTGCACTAGAGGCCAATGTCCTTATGATCACCTGCATGATGTTTTCTGTATGAGGGGAAATTTTGACACCGTGGGCACGGGCAAGATCCTCAAAGAGGGAAACAGTGAACTCTCCGGGCTCAGAACCTGTTTCTTTTGTTTCTGAAAGTTGGGCAACAAACAACGGAATCGCCCTAGCATCAAGATCGTTAACATAAGATTTCAAAGCTCTCATTGCCGTCTTGTGGTTGTCAGGATCTATGTCAAGTTTCCCCAACTCTTGTCTAAGCACTGAACTGAGAATTCTGCCCATTTTCTCTCCTAAATCCCTTCAAACACAAGTCAATCACCAATATTTAGATACCCGCAGGAATAACCATCAACGAAAAGGAAACAAGTTTACAGAGTCACTCTTCTTGCTTATACTTTTAGCAGCAGAAATGCAAATCATGTAATAACATGCGTCTGAAATAAAGCCTTTAGAAAACAAAACTTTGGGTGCTTAATCATATATACTAAACTCGAGGCAACTGAGAAACAAATGTTGACCACTCAGAAAAACCACAAAACAAGTGAAGGTTTTGAATTTGGAGTTCTCAAGAACAGACGTAATCTTAAACCTTACATGCCTTCCTCGGCAGTTCTTTAACATTCTTTCCAATGAAGTCAACATAAAAAAATCATAGTCTGTCAAAATCCACGGATCCTGTATAACACATGTATGAATTAAATGAAGATGAAATGGTGGGGTGATATTACTGATCTTTAATAAGGAAAACAATCAATCGTGACCCATCTCATGAAATCCTAGACGAATATACCTAATCAGAATCCAAAAGTGAAATAATCCCTACACCTATTTTCAATATCATTTTCTCGCGAACCAAACCGGAAACAGTTTCACCGAGAATTTCCAGTTCGGAACTTTTGAAATGCCTAAAAAGAACAGAATGCATAGCATCACATCCTCAAAGTAAATGTCGCTCTGTATGGTAAAAATCGCCAGATCAATGAGTATCCACAGTGTATTCAAATGGAATCCGAGAGGATACAGACCCACCAAACAAGAAACTAAGATAAATCAAAGGGCGTCATCAGATTTCCGATTTGGTTCGAGCGAAATCGATGAACAGAGAAGAATGTATCGGTACCTGATAACGAAAAAAATGCGCTTTGTACGATGACCGAAGAAAACTAAACTTCTTCTTATCCGAGAAGTTTCAAGAAGAATCCTGTAGTGGATCTTGATGCCCAGATTGCAGAAGAAATGAGCGTCTTTCCACGATCCGACGCTCCTGTTCAGACGAAGAGCAAAAGCAGAAAAATTTAAACGTTGATGGTTGGTGAGAGAGCGGGTTTTGGTAATTTCTTTAGTTTCCTTTTTCTTTGCACTTTTGGGTTTCACGCAAACTGACCCCTGTTGTTTCCATTTTAATTCCAAATGCACACGAACTTTTTTAAAGACTCAGTAGGCCCCTACAAAAATTATTTGAAGTCGTTGTCTTTTATTTTAAATTATTTACATATCTACTGGTAAAAAAACTGCTAATGCACATATCAATTAGTCTGGTGTGTTGTAAGAGGATATATTATTTTTATTTGGAATAATGAGTTACATAAGAGAGAGAACGTAACAAGTGTTGTAGTCTAAAACCAAAATTCATGGGTTTTTTCCCAAACAAATGAAAAATAGAGGGGGCAGTTGCCCCTATTTTAATAAATTATTATCTCCTAAAATCACGTTTGATTTTGGGTCATTTTGATCTAGTGTCAAGTGACAAGATTTCCTTCCTTTTGTCTCTTTTCGACAAAGATAAAATTCCCTTTATTTCCGGTTTTTCTAAAAATATTAGTCAATTTGCATTAAATTGTGAAATAATGCCATTTGACTCCCTATACACACTTTGTGGAATTACGGGGTTAAAATAACAATCTATAATAATTTGAGGAATAATCTGAAAATATAGTACACTTAAGGGGCGTGAAACTGCAAATATAGTAGATTATGGCCGCTCCGTCGTCCACGTGGCTTCACCTGGTCGGCCGAGTCGCCATTGTCACAGGCTCTTCTCGGGGGATCGGGCGAGCCATAGCAATCCACCTGCGCGGAGATCGTATCAGCTTCGCCTCTAAATCCGGCGAGGCTGAGCAGTTTGCGACCGAGATCAACAACCTTCCGGCGGACATCGTGGTGCGGGCCAAAGCCTTGCAGCCAAGCGAGGTAAAATCGTTGTTCGACTCGGCGGAGCGCGGTTTCGAGTCGCCGCTTCACATCCTGGTTAACTCGGCGGGAATTCTCGATCCGAGATACCGTGGAAGATTTTGATCGCATCTTCAGATACTTTGTCGTTCGATTTGATTATCTGTGAATTTGGGAGAAAGAAGGAAAACATTTTTGGATTGTTCATGTGTTGCTTAAACCAAAGACAAACTGACTCACGTTGTAACGAACTCTTTAGAAATGCTACGAAACCTTGTCATGCTCATCATCAGCTGAGATTTCACGTTCTTGATTCATGGAACCTTTGGTTTCAGGTTAAAAAAAATGAATCTTTGCCTTGAATCCGTTGAGTGCATTGAATTCTAAATTCTTGCTGCATTGATACTCATCATTGTTTGTGTCCTTTTGATGCCGTGTTAACACAAGAGGCGCTTTCCTGTTCTGCGTGGAAGCTGCCAAGCGGCTAAAACATGGAGGTGGTGGGCGGATTATCCTTCTGACATCTTCTGGGAGCATCGAAGGTCGCCATGGTCAAGATTCTAGCTAAAGATGTTAAAGGAACAGGAATTACAGCAAGCTAAAGATGTCAGAAGGAACAGGAATTACAGCAAACTGCATTGCTCCAAGACTCGTCGCCATGGATAGGTTCTTCCAAGGGAAGAGCGAGGAGAAGGTGAAGAGGGTGATCGCACCGGTATTCGGGTTCTTGGCTACAGATATTGGTGAATGGATCAATGGCCAAGTCATTCCCGTTTATGGTGGTACGTGTAGAGGTCAGTGTTCATAGTCCCATGAAACTCAATCCGTTTATTATCCATCTTTGTTTGTTCAGATTAGAATGTATATAATCCGATTCCAATGCAGATCCCAGAGAACGAATACCGATATGAACCAAGAATCAATAATATACAACAAAAAGTAACCCAATCCACCAACAATGAAAACCAAAATGCCTGAAGACATAGCCCAAAACCTCATAGTCTCATAAAGAACACTAACACACTCACCAGACACAACCCGGCTGCCGAACCATACCTATGATAATGTCCCGACGAAAACTGACCGATCTGAACAGGAAAATTGCATTGCCCTTGTGACAGGTTCTGCGATGTGATCGTGGCAAGCCCCTGAAAGTAACACGCCTCTTCTTGCTGGTTCTGCACCTGGAAATACATGTTAAACGCATACGATGCGTTCCCGTTCACATCCAGGTTCCCGCAGGAGGATCCGTACCCCAAAGCTGTGCAGTCCGAGAACCTGCAGGCGTAGTCTATGTTCTCTCCGAGCTTGCTTATATCGCCATTGCCGTTCGGGTTGTACATACACCACCTAGCTGGCAAGTAATCGACGTTCTGGGCTCCGACCAAGAACTTCTTCAGACCTTGGCCCGAAAAATCCATCGGGAACTTGGGTTGGCCGTCGTATTTGAAGATTCCCCAGTGACGCTCGAAGCTCCCTGGAGCTATACTCTTAGCGTCCTCGTCGAGCAAGCCGAAAAGATACACTTCGATGTATCCAGGACGCATCGGGGTCCCTCTGTTCGCGGCCAACCGTGGAAGCAAACCGGCGTAGAACCTCTCGGCATTTGCCACATTGGCGTTCTTGTCGCCATCCGTTGGCCAGCCGACCTCTCCGACAATGATGGGCATGTCCCCATGATTCAAGGCCTTGAGAGATGCGACGAGGGTGTCGAAGTTGGCGTCGAAGACGTTGGTATAGACGACGCCGTTGTCGGGATCGTTGACAGTGTTTTGGCCCTCGAAGAAGGCGTAATTGACGGGGAAGTCGGAGCTGAGGTAGAGACTGAGGAAAGGGTAGATGTTGACGGTGAAGGGGGCTTTGTTCTGAGCGAGGAAGTTGACGATGAGAGACATCTGGTCGAGGATGTCCTGTCGGAATCTGCCGGAGGAAGGGAAGGGTTTTTCCGGCGGAGAGTTGTAGACGTCGGCGTTGAGAGGGACGGTGGCTTTGATGGAGTCGCCGAGTCCTGCTTGGTTCAATGCGTTCTGGATGTTGACCAGCGCTGGGTACGTCAGGTTTATGAATGTCCCGTTGTACGATGTCAAGAACGGCTCGTTCCCTACCGCTACGTATCTATATCAAATTTATATATAAAACAATCAAATATGTTTTCGTCAGTATATTTACATATATATATATACACACACACTAATATGGTATTTATTTATAAAACTTTTGTATTTTGTTCACAATGAAATAACTTTTCATATGGCATGCAGAGGAATTGCTAGCTTTTTTTTTTGCGAAAAGAGGGAATCAATTACCTTTTCTAAAACCTGTACATTTAAAAGAAAGATTCATTCATGTTTTGCATAGATTAAGTTGCCGTCATGTGCAATTAATTGCATTAAATCACATATAATATATCTGTAGCAAAATTAATGTATATCTACGCAATTTCAGTTATTGTTTATTTATATATTTATTATAACAAACTAATACTCACCCAATTAAATAAATGTTTCCAAAATTCTCGCCACTAAAAGATTCATATTATTAAGTCAATCGATAATAGCCAACCTCCAAACTAAATTAGATTAAACTATTTATTTATATATATATATATATAAATATTATATGTACGATTTGAAATTATCACCCAATTTCAGTTATTGTTTATTTTTTTTTCATCCAAAAAAAAAACGTGTAAAGGATTGGATCTCCTGTCCTATCTGTCTATGAAAAAGTGGTTGGCTCAGGAAAAAAAATTAAGAGGTTTATTTCTCATACTTATTTCCTTGTAGACATTATTTTCCAATAAAATAAAATGAACTAAAAATGAAAATTTCTTAGCGAATTATATCTCTCTGGATTCACATTATTATAAAATTATTTGGAAATAATTAAGTTTCCCTATAACACAAATTATGATATTGTAATAATCACTTCAAACACTCACAGGAACCGTACAAACCTCTACCACATCATTATCCAATGTACTTGATGCATCTGAATCCAAATCTCAAAATCAAGGATCATCCCAAAAACATATATGCTTTTTCAAGCATTTGAATCCGACCCATCACCAGATACCCAGAAAAGTTTCAGAAAAATCAAAACTTTCTCGGTTTTAAGATAGAAAAAGAGAGGAGGAATTACTTGACGTTGACGCCGCCATTGAAGTTGTAGCTAGTGACGTTTCTTCGGACCCAATCCTTAGCTCGGCTGAAGCTTCCCATGGCTTTGAGCTGATCATTCGGAATAGCCACCATGACCTCCATGCCTGAGCCGGCTATAGCTCCCATGGTGCTTCCGTCCGCGTCGAAGAGCTTCACTTTCTGAATGTTGTTGCCCTTCAGCATCTGCACCACCGTCTTCGGCGGTAGCTGGTGACTCGCCATCGTCCCCCAGTTCACTCCCAATGCCTCTCCGCCGCGGAAGAGTAAGCACACCGCGGCGATGCCCACTAATACGACGGTGGCGATGATACTCCGTTTCTGTCTCATCTGGGTTTCGTTAGTTTTCCCGGAAAGTTTTGGGCTTTTTCCCGTTTCCCTGTTTACCGGGAAAGTTTCGGGTATTTGAAAGCCGGTGGGATTCTGGGTTTGTGCGGATCTGTTATTAATTCTATGAGAAAAAGAGTTGAACAGATTTAGAAATTTGGATCAAAGTTTGAGAAAACAGCGTTAGTGTTGTTTCCTTTGATGTGGTTTGGGGAATTGAATAATCAATGGGGGAAAAGGAAAGATTTCTGGTGTTTGGGCAGAGAGAAATTATCATGTGGAGGAAAAATGGAAAGAGATGACGGTGGAGAAGATCGTGTTGAACAATTCTATTCTCTTGTTCAAGATATAACAAAGACGCTCGGTTTCAAAACCGGCATCATTACCATAATAAATAAAATAAAATAAAATAAATTAATAAATAAATAAACAATGTGTGTGTGTATGTATGGAAAATCAAGTCTTTGCAACAAGAGTTAATCCTAAACAAAGGCTATTTAACGAGTTAATCCATAGATTAAGTAACTGACTGAATATAATATCATTTGCATTAAAAGTGTAGATCTCAAACAGTAATTAGATCTCTAAATCTCAAAGTGGTCGGTCACTGAGGCAGGGAGGAGGAGTTATGATTCAGCAAAGTTAGGTGTTGAATGAGATGTGGATTTCGGAGTTTTTGGATTTCAAAAAGTTAGAAAACCGACAATCAAGTTTTTTGAAATTTGGTTTTCCTAAAAACCCAAAAATCTACTTTATGAAAAAAATCAACTAAAAACTAAAAGCCACCTTTTTTTAGATTTATAAACTTTCAGAATCCAAAAGCCAAAAACCAAAAACTAAAAACCAAAAACAAAAAACTAAAGCCAAAAACCCAAAATAAAAACCAATACCATTCAAAGCCTTAAATTGTTTTGGAAAGCGATTGAAGGAAACGACGACGTTTCATGTTGTCGAGGAACGAATCCCTAGCTCCGAAGTGGAGATGACGTGTCATAATTGTGATTGGTCCATGCGGAGACAGCCCCACGTTGGATGAGCACGACACCCCATGTATCGCTGACGACACATTTATCAGTTTATAGTCATACTACATATATATATATATATATATATATATATATATAATTTCATATTCTATATCATATAAAAAAACTAAAGCCAAAAACCCAAAATAAAAACCAATACCATTCAAAGCCTTAAATTGTTTTGGAAAGCGATTGAAGGAAACGACGACGTTTCATGTTGTCGAGGAACGAATCCCTAGCTCCGAAGTGGAGATGACGTGTCATAATTGTGATTGGTCCATGCGGAGACAGCCCCACGTTGGATGAGCACGACACCCCATGTATCGCTGACGACACATTTATCAGTTTATAGTCATACTACATATATATATATATATATATATATATATATATAATTTCATCTTCTATATCATATATCTATATGTATAATGAATCTATACATATATATTGAACCGAGGCTCCATCATCCACGTATGGATGATTCAGGGTGGGCTCAACCGACCAAAATATGTTATATCTACATCTATTCATGAACGTAAAATTACTGCAAATTATATAACGAATACCGTTCACCCAAAAAGCATCTATGTATCCATTCAAAGTTATATCCATTCAAAAAGCATCTATGTAATTAGTTTCCCATTTTCAATTTTTCTTTTCTTTTATTTATAGTGGAAAGATCCAAATAATTCGAGTGCATATATACATATATATATATATATATATATATATATTGCAGTTGGCCCATTTCGAGGCATCTTTCCACTTAAACGATTCTTATTCCCTTCTATGCCTTTCTTTGAGAATATTAGGGTTATCAGTCCCGATTTTTATTTATTTATTTATTATCAAGTTGGATTTTTTAACGATATTATGTTATGTGTAATATCATTCTTTTTTTTGTCTAATGTAACGTGATAATAACCAACATATTATGAAGACACGAAATTATCGATATCATTCCTATTTGTGGTATATATGTTCCAAAAAGTTCAAGGAAATTTATGGATAGTACGCCATATAATCATTTTTTTTATTTCAATGTTCTATATCTGTATTTTATTTATATTACATAATTAGTTTTAGCACGATTATTACACTTATTCGTCTCTGAATTATACATAACAGTTTTAGAATATGATCGTCCCTCGTAATGTTTTTCAAATATTTACCAGACAGTACAATCTAGAACATTTGGAGGACAAATTTGAAAAATCCAATAATTGAGAAGTCAAATTGTGCAAAATCAATTACACGTAATGGTAGTTTAACATATAGGCAATCACATAAATTATTGCAAATTGGGAAATATGTTTGAGCAAATGTGAATGGCCATTATAAAATTGTCGTCTACATTTTGTATAAAATATTTAAATCAAGGAGTAGTTACGTTTCGTGTCGAAACTGTGGTCAGGAAACCTTTAGATTATGAAGTTGGAAGACCAATCAAACCATTAGCGTGGACCGACTTCTGTATATTTAATCAATTAAATCAAAAGTAAAAGAAGTTGAAAACGTATCGTGCATGCATGGACTGATATCAAAACAACAATTACGTCGATAGGTACGTATCCTGCATGCATTGCATGGACTGGTGTATATATATATATATAGAAAGCTACACTATGTGAATACATATACATAATCTAAAATTTACTGCAAAATGAATATGTAAAAGGGTTGAAGTTAAACTTAAAATTAGTAAAACTTTTTACCTAAGATGAAACATTAGAGAGCTTCAGAGACCAAAACAAATGGGGAAATCGAAATAGAGACAAAACAGATGAAACGAGACAAGGGGATGGTCGAACACTACATGCCTATGTGCATCTTTCTTACACAGAGAGTTCGTCTTCAAGATAACAGTACTCGAACGCAAACTCGTGTTTGATTCTTTGGCACCTGCAAGATAACAACAGTAAGGCAATTGTTTATGTAACAGCCTATGAACATAGAGAGGTTTCCTTCAGGACCTATGGTTCAGGTCCTAGATTCTAGAGATTGAAGAAGTATGATCTAATTGCACAGTGTCTGATGTCACTCAACTCTCTTACAGTCCCTGTCTGAACTGAAGCAGAAAACTACAAAAATGCATGTTTCTCTCAATGGGCGGTCCATAACAAAGGTTGGCAAGAACTGACAGAAACCAGAGCGAGAACAGGGCCTCGGGACTAGACTAGAATGGCCATTTTAGTTCAAGCGACATGACTGAAGAAAGCTCATAGAAATACAATCGAGTGGAACGAACGTACCATCCTTGTTGGCTTTCGTCTTTGGAGCTATGGAAATCAAAGTAAACGTAAGTGCCCTGTTCGTACTCGTCGGTGGCAATCTTTGGCTCTTCATGTCTCTGGAACCATGTGTTATATTTCCTGTGGAATCTCCAAGCCTGTTTCTTAAGCTCTTTCGCAGCCAAATATTGTTGATACGTGTTCTACAGCCGAAAGAAAGATTACAATATGATGACAGATTTTGAGAAATTAAGGAATAAGAAATGACAGAAATCCTGATCCTAACCTGCTGATAATAGAATGTAAAGAACAAAGTATCGATGCCATAAGCGTCACTTCCAAAACGTTCCCAGAGCAAAGGGTTATTTATGATAGGCGCTTGTACTTGAGGGTAGCTTGCAGGTGTTAGAGCCGGGTTCCTCTGCCCAAAACGTAACCAAATACATGAACAAATGGAAAACAAGATCGAGAATCACCAAAAGGGAAAAGGAAAGGTAGGAGAGAACGGATCATTCCATACCGGAGAATAATGCCTTGGAGGATCTGAATCTTTAGGCTGAGGAAGTCTATAGTAGGCTGCCTCAAGCAACTGAAGATGATGCATCTGATCATTATGCACTGCTGAGCCGCCGGTGTTGTCACCAATGGCCCCGAGATCAGCAACACTTCTACGTCCAATGACCCCAAGACTGCTGGAAGGTTGGCTGGGTTGTACAGGTAAGCCCGGGGAGAAATCTGGATCATCTCTAGCCACCACCTGTGTTGAATCTGCAGCCGAGGAGCTCATCATTCCTGCCTGTAGCTAAGAAAGAACGAGCAAATACAATGTCTATGTTGGTCTCTTGGAATTGAGAATACAACTATAATATTCTAATAATCTATTGTAATCACAGATCTCGTTAATTATTTAATTGCAAATGTTGAAGTTTAAGTAAAGGAATGCCAAAACACTCACCAAAACCTACAAAGACAAATAACATTTCCATAATAAAACTCACTAGAAATTAATCTGGGAAAACAACAATAATGCAGCAATATGTCATCAGTACCTGCTGATAATTATAGAATGATATGTGTGCATTGGATACATACATCATACTCGATTCAGATATGCGGTAAAATTTCCATGCACTGGATGTAGAGATCAAGATCAAGCTTACATGGTGATCAAACGGTACTTTAGCATAATCCTCATTACCATTCACATCATCTGGTAAGTTTTGCTGCTGCTGTTCATCATTTCTCGATCGGTCTATGTCTGCAGAAAACATCAAGAACAGCATTTAATTGATACTGTCATGATAATAATCATCAATTGAGTTCCTTCATCATTATTCCATATCCATCTCTTCATAGCCCAAGTTTAAAACTGCTTGGACAACCTTAGTTTAATTTGGTTCAATTTCAGAAGAAATAATAAGAATCTTTTGATATCATTGGATATTTTCGTCCAGACAAAGAAACAGCCTATATACAACTTTTTTTTCAAAAATAAAGTGCTTATTCATGGTTTTTACCTTGGCTTTTTTTTTTAAAAAAAAAAACTAAATTCCAACTGAGATAAACAAAATTCCTTTACCTGTGACAGAAAGGGGCTGGCTGGATTGTTGAGACATGGCATTTGACTGCTGCTGTAAGGTGGCATGACCAACGACGTTAAAACCAGGTGCCTGAACACTAATTCCCAGGCCACCATGGGGCGACATTGACGAGCTCTGGGAAACAAATTAGGAAAGGAAATATGACACTATTATGAGGGAACGGGTCTAAGTATCATAATCTTGTGACAACCTAAAAACGGACTTGCTCAGGAGTCAACAAAGGGCACTGAGGTATACATAAATAGAAAAAAGGTGGAAAAGAAAAATAAAAAAGCAGTACCTGCTGCAAGAGAGGATTTTGTTGTTGAGAAGAAAACAGCTTCTCGGTACCTCCGGAAAGCGAAGGTAAACCTAAAAAGTTACCATTGCCCTGCTGCACTTGCTGAAATCTCTGTAAAAATTTCTCTCTTTGATCTGGAGCTATCTCGGCTCTCCCAAGGATCTGAGCAAAAAACATATAAAGCATTTTACACAGACAAAATATTTAAGAAGCTTCCAGAAAAAATACAGAAGGAACACCTAACTATGAGACCAGATGCCTTAACCAAGCCATATGGGAAGGATTTTAAGATTTGACTACTTTGGATTTTGTTAGAATGCAAGGAGTTATCATTAACCATTAAATAACCAGGGATTTTCTTTGAAACACTACCCAGATTAAGGAGAAAAACTGAAAAAGAAAATCCAAAATATAGTTTAATGTACCGAAAAAGACAATGCAAAATTCCAAGTAAATTATTGGTCTGGAAAAAGAGAGAGCACACCATTTCATTCTGGCTCTGGAATGAACCTCCAGGCCTCCACGGCACATCGGAGACAATAGAGGGTGAAAAAGCTCTACCGATGCTAGCAGCAGCATCACCGGGATTGCTATCAGAGACAGTTCCGTCATTAGCCTTGGCAGTTTGTGGCAATGCAATTTTGCTTAGAGGTGAAGTAAGTGGCTGGATTGGACCGTCAACTCCCATGATATTTCTCTTTGTTACTTCACTGGCTGAAGCAGCAACACTACGAGCTCCATTTACTGAACTGGGAGATGGCAGGCTCGTTTGGGCCTGTGTGGAGGGACCACCTCTACCGATGCCCCTTAATGGAGCATCAGCCATAGATGAGGAGGGTGGTCTGCGAGCAGGTAAGGTTGCTGCATCTTCTTCCTTGGCAGTCACTGATGATGAATTTCCCATGCTTTCTGCGGCAGTTTGAGTAGAATTAGAAATCGATGGGACAGGAACATTCGATGTTGTCCGTCCGCCAGCTGATGCTAATGCCGTAGATAGAAGGCTTGTGCCACTTTTGGGAGGAGGGGTTTTTACGACAACTTCAGAACTACTGTCCTGTGAAGTTGTGTCTTCCATTTTATCTTGAGAAGTACTCGGATGAGGAACTGACGAGTTCGTACTCTGAAACAAAGCCAAAATCAAGACATACTAGCAGTTGAACTATGTTATTCGGGCAAAGAGATACACAGAACTCTTACGTGAACTTGAGATGCTGACGCTGCCAAAGTGTTCTTCATGCTCAAAGGGGTACCCTGAAAAAACATAAGTCATTATTATCACTAACGTTTGAACTAGATCAGTAAAGATTATAGTGACAAAACCAACATCTTAAGCCCTTTCAAATGGATTGTCCCCAAGTTTCTGTACAGGTATGTCTTACATCAACGGGCACAGCACTTTCCTTTTTTGCACAGGGCTGGAGAAAATAACTAACAAGGGAAGTTGCAAAAAGTTTACCTTGACAAGAGGACCAGCAATAACTAAATCTTCAAGCCCCTCCACCTTGTCTAATGGCAATGTGTTATAGAGCTCATCGACATCACTAAATTCATCGAAATCGTCCTACAGAGAGAAGAGTTAAAATTAATCCTACAGAATGATCAACTTACTGGAGCACAAAATGGGCCAGAAAATTTGATGTGAACACATACACTAGAAGAAAAAGAAAATCAGATGACATATGAAACAGACCTGATTTCGTTCCACATAGTCATCCAGAAAATCTTTCACATCATTCACCTGATCTGGACTTAATTCATCATTGTCCAGACGCCTCAAGATCAATTCCAACTTTATTATATGAGCCCTATGCCTTGTAATGGATGTCTCTAAATGTGTCTGAAAGAGGAAAACACCAATTTAACACATAATTCAACATTAGAATTAAAATAAAAAGGGCATCTCATACACCAAAAGATGCATACGTTTTACAACTTACCAATCTGGGTGGCCTTGTCTTTCCTTTTTTGACGGACAGCCCTTCCAACTCAGCTTCAAAACTATCAATCTGGGACTCGAGTTCACTCACCTATTTGACAGCAAGAAGTATAATTACTTTTAAGCAGCTAAAACGCTGGTTCACGATATGCGGAATACTGTAGTACAAAAACTAAATACCTAATTTCCTCACATGTTCACCATATTTAGCCTCAAATATACTTAGAGCAATGCACTCATCAGCACTCGCTTTACTATTATTAGGCCGTAAATCACAACATTTAAACTCTTGGAAGAATGGAATTGATAGCATGACAAATGGAAGCTTAGTTGCTCACCACATTGTTCAACCAATCTCTTGTTTCTGCCTTTGCTTTCTCTTTTGGGTCCTATTGGAGAAGAACTTAGACAAATCAGTAGCCTGACCATTAAACAAAGAGGTAACCAGCATTTGAATTCGCTGACACTCTT